TACGCTGAAATGCGAACACGCTCAGTGTTATTGCTCATTCCATATAACAATTAGGTTTTTTTCTTTATTTTGTCAAAATAAATCATCAGACACATTTTCAAAGCTTAAAAAATCTTCCATCACTTGAAAAATTTAACCGATCACCCAAAGCACTTAACGAAATTCCTTGATATTAAAGGGGTTAAAGGAGTCGCTCTCAGCGGAATTCGGACTATACGAAAGTAAAATGTTGCTGTTTAAGTGAGGACCCATCGTAGGTTGCTTACAGTGACCCATTTCACGAGAACACTAGCACAACACATTCCCTTTGATTACCACATTCAGCATAACTAAACACACTCCACTGGCTCCCACACCCACCACACAGTTCGGCCTTGCGCTGTCCCAACACTTCAGGTCATCTCCATCACCGCATGGCGACCGTTCACATGCCCGTAGTCAGGTCTTCACAACCAAATGCTCCGAGCAAATGCTCACACTTTGATGATGCGACATTGATGGAAGGTGGTGCAGTCATGGAGGCCTAAGTGTCAGTGTGCAGTCGAGTGATGGAAGGAGAGTGGGTGATGGTCAACTCGCAGTAAAGCTCACTTGATGAAGGTGAGGATTGGGAGGGAGGGAGGAGTGGGTTGTGCTAGCAGCTAAGCGACTGATTGTTTCGTGTGTGGTGACCAGTGCTCCTCGTGGATTGGCAATCTGCTGTTCACCTCCTTCATTCATGCCGCGTTGTGGAGAAGTAGTGTCGCGAGTGTCTGGTCCACCAACCGACTCATCGCAAGGCTATGCTTTTGTGTGCATACGTTTGTCTGCTTTCACAAGTATCAAATTCTAATTTATCCCGATCGACGGTAAAATTCATTATCCGAGTTTCCTAATAAAATCAACCTGAAGTGCAGAAAAATTTTCTTAACTTATATCCTCTGGCACTGTGGAAGATACTAATGGAGGCTATTTTTAAGATCCATCTTCTATCACGAAAAGCTTGAAAGAGGTGTATTTTAAATGTTCATAATTACCGTTCCTCTCCCATTTCCGAGAATTCAGTATTAGCAACAGGAGTTTCGAGGGATTGTTGTTATTGTTAATGTTTGCAAACCTATACACTCAATTTCTGCTCGGCATGACTTTGGGAGGCGCTTAGCAATACTTTAATTAGACCTCTTTACAAGGTGACGTAAATGGCACCTAATTAAGTTGCTTACGCTTTGCTCTTTCGTTAGTTTAGGTAGTAAAGCCACTATTTTGAAACCCACATAGGTGTCATTGCAGTTGCCTTCAAATTTAGCCGGAGTTGTGGAAGGAAGAGGGATTCCGGTAGACGAGCACTCTCTCCCACCTCCTCAATTGTAATGAAGCCCTGAGCATAGGCTTCGATTTTTGGCACGTTCTGCAAGCTAGCAATGCATCCATCAAGGGTCACAAATGTGGAGGCTTCTCCATGAGGGGGAATGATGAACTGAAGTGGCGAAAGAGAAAATCCACTTTTGTTACGCCCCATTGGCTCAATAAGTTTTCTAGCTGTTGCATGTGACCTAGAGACCGCGTAACCCTCATGAGGTCGTAGCAAAAGCGAGATAAAGGGTTTTGCCTCTAAAATGAGATAGGAGAGATAGTGGTAGATTTCAATAGAAGCACTACTTTAAAACACAATAATTGTAGATTAATTATTCGCCTTGCCTAAAGTATTCTTTGTCGTATTTTGAACATCATTGAGTTGCGTCTGGTCATTTATGACGGCGCAGAGGTCGAGCAGTCGTTCATCATTTTCTTGATTTCCATAACAATAGAGATGCCAATCAATTCTGACAGCTAAGATAAAGAAGATTATTAACACTGATGGGTTTCGTATGAGAAATTAGAAACGATTTTCTCCTAAACATTATTAATTCTCCCAAGACTTGTGATACTTACTGAATGAGGAATTGTTTTTAAGTTTTACTTCCCGCTTCTTTATCTCTGTGATGCTAGAAACAGCACCGAAACTAATGGTTGTTTCGCGTGCTGGAATAGAGGAGAGAATAAGCTCGGAGAACCTGACATCGGTCACCTTTGACATTAGACAGTCGTTGAAAGCCTTCGTATTTATAGATTTAATTGCAGTAAGGAACTCCACCGGGCTACCGTAAGCCCGCGCAACAACAGGAAGCTTTGCTATGAGGGCCTGGGATTCAACTTCGTAG